CATGAAGATAAGCTGTTAATTTATATTGTCACAGTGAAACTCAACAGAACTCTGTTTTACGGTAAAGATTTTGGGGCCCAAAGGGAATTTACTCATGGGCACATTCTGAGGAAAGCCCTCTGCAGAGGTATGTGTTCTTTTATCTTTGCAGCTATCTACTTAGGAAAAAAATGGGAGGCAGGTTTGCATGACTCAGTTCTCAGGCTTACCCTTTCCCTTTGAGATAGTGAGGTTGGGGTCTCAAGATTTTTAATTTTCTTTCACACTCACCAGCTAGATTTTAGCTATAAACTGGTAATCACTGTGTGTTGTTTTCCTTTCTCTCCTTTTCCAAATTGTTTTCATTGCAGCCACCCTCTTTTCCCTTTGCCACTGTAAACTGGGAATATGGAGAGTGGGAGGGGAGGGGAGAAGAATTAAAATACATACTTATGTATCATTTTCCAAACCAGAGAATTGGAGCTGGATGCAATAACTGGAGAGTCAGGTTATCTTTTTTTAGAAAGGGGATGGGTTTGTTTTCAATCATATATTAAATATCTGCATGATAAAGTAGTATATTTCTGAATCATATGTATAAGAGTAGGTTGAATATATATTCATATATATAAATAAAGGCATTGCAAGGTGACTCCCAATGATGCCTGCCTCCTGGTATTTACACATGTGCAAATCTCTCCATTTAGTGCGGACTGGACCTAATAGCTTGCTTCTAGTGAATAGAATATGGCAAAAGTGATGAGATACCACTTCTGAGCTCAGGTTATAAACACTGTGACTTTTGAGAGGCCAAGGTAGGCAGATCATGAGGTCAGGAGATCGAGACCATCCAGGCCAACATGGTGAAACCCCATCCCTACTAAAAATACAAAAAAATTAGCTGAGCATGGTGGTGTATGTCTGTAGTCCCAGCAACCTGGGAGGCTGAGGCAGGAGAACTGCTTGAACCCAGAAGGCAGATATTACAGTGAGCTAAGATCGAGGCACGGCATTACAGCCTGAATGACAATGCGAGACTCCATCTCAAAAAATAAAAATAAAAAAACAAGAACTGTGACTTATGTCTTACTTACACTCTCTCTGTTCCTTCTTGCTTGCTCTAATAAAGCAAACCACCAAGTTGTGAGCTTCGCTTTAAGAGGCCACATGCAAAGAACTGAAGGAGACCTCTAGTCAATAGTCAAGAAAAAACTGAGGCCCTCAGTGCAAAAGACACTGATGAACTGAATTTTGCAACAATCATGTCAGTGAGCTTGAAATTAAAGCTTTCCCCAGTTGAGCCTTTAGATAAGACTAAAGTCCTGGCCAACACCTTGTTTGGAGCCTTGTGAGACTGTGAAACAGAGGAACCAGCTAAGCCATGCTTGGATTCCTGACCCACAGAAAATGAGTGGTAACAATTGTTGCTGTTGAAGCTACTATGTTTAGGGTTATTTATTATGCAGCAATAAACAACTAACACAGTATAGCCACTAAACAGTGCAAAAATAGACTATAGTATATATCTATCATTTTTTTGTCTGCCCAGAATCAAATGACATATTTTCTTGCAAATATACATTTATTTTCCTTTAAGAAACCATTCCTTCCACTATTCTCAGTGACTGGCAAGATGGGATTGACTCATCTTCCTCTGCCTCTCCCTGACTAAATACATTTGACTCAGGCTCAGCATATAAAATCCAAGGCTGAGATTTCTCCTGGAATTACTGGGAAGAAAGCACTCTTTCTGCTGAACTTGAAGTTGGTAGGATGTCAGCCTGGAACTACCAAGGCCACAAAATAGAATCTTTCTGAAAACTAAGACAGTTACAGAGAAAAAGAGAGTTGAGGAAGAGAAAGAGATGAAGTCCTCTTGGCATTATTTAAGCCTCTGAACTAGTAATGTCTCTCAAGTCAGTCTATCTCTTAACTTCACATGAATCAATAAATTTCCTTTTTTTCCTTCATTTTTCACTTTACATCAATTTCAGCTAAATTTATGAAAAAAACATTTTCAAGGTACTAATCGCGGAGGTCCATAAAAACAAGGACCAAATCTGTCTTATTCACTACTGTATTCCTCATTGCTTAGCCCAACCCCTGGCAAGTAGGGATCACTCAATAGATATCCATTGAATGAGTGAATACAATCATTCAAAGAAGAAACAGTGAATAGGCCTAACTCAGCAAAAATGCAGTAAAATGTTTTATAATCATGGAGAAAGTAAAACCTCTTTTAAAAAATAAAAATAATGTTCTAGTTTAAAACTTTATTTATTTATAAATATTATTTTAAACACAAAGATAATTTAATTAGATAAGCCAGTTAAGCATTTCCACAGTTCATTTTATTTCACATAAAAATCCTCTAATCGCTAGGATAATTCCTTTTTATTATAAAAGAAGAACTCCTATTTCTAGATATATTCTCATGTTGGGGCACTTCTGTAATTAAGGCCAGAACTTATTTTAGCAATACTATATTAGCTATAAATATAATATTATACCCCAATTAGCTGATTAGAACTCACAATGGATTCTATGTCATATATAGAATATTATAATGTTTTAGATGCCAGGTTAATTAGAAGTAATATATATTTACACCATCATCTAGATCATAAATCCTTCTTTAAGGAATTATAGAAGATAGAGGGGCATGTCAAATCACCCCATGGAGATACAATCAGCCAAGTCCAGCCTGAGAAACTCTACCAGACAAATTACTTGGTTCTTCAACAAAAAAACTGCAGGGCAAGAAACAGAGATAGAAAGGGAATTCACAGTAATCTACAGACTAAAAGAGACTTAAAAGATACATCGGCTGGGCACAGTGGCTCACACCTGTAATCCTAGCACTTTGGGAGGCTGAGATGGGCAAATCACCTGAGGTGAGGAGCTCGAGACCAGTCTGGCCAACACAGTAAAGCCCCATCTCTACTAAAAATACAAAAAAATTAGCTGGGTGTGGTGGCAGGCACCTGTAATCCCAGCTACTTGGGAGGCTGAGGCAGAGTAATTGCTTGAACCCAAGAGGCGGAGGTTGCAGTGAGCCAAGATCGCGCCATTGCACTACAGCCTGGGCAACAGAGGGAGACTCCATCTCAAAAAAAAAAAAAAAAAAAGATACATCAACCAATTGCAATATGTAAACCTGGATCCTGATTCAAACAAACTTCTGTGACATGTAGGAAAAAACTGGACATTTAAATACTTTGTGGATATTTGACAATGTTAAGAAATTATTTTTATATGGTATGATAATGGTAGTGTGACTTTGTAAAAACAGAGTCCTTATCTTTTAGTTATATATACTAAAATATTTACAAATGAAATACAGTGTCTGAATTTGGGGAATAGGGAATGTAGATAGGACATGGACCAGGCAGGCTTAAGTATGAACTGATGATTTTGGGAGCTGAGTACATGGGGATTCATCATACTACTCTGTGTGTGTTTTATACTCTCTAAATAAAAAGTTTTACAATTTTAAAATAAATAAACAGAAAAGGAAAGTATAATATATCTAATTATTAGGAATCTAGTGATAATATTATCCAAATTTTAAAATCTGGATACCTGGGCTAACAGAATATTTGAATAGGCCTGTGCAAGAAATCACATGATATATGCTTCTAAATTTTTGTAGTAATAATATGAATTATGAATACTGAAGAAAGAGGCAACTGATACAGACAAAAGGAAGAGGAGGAAGGTCGAGCCTTCTTTTCCAGAGGATTTGCGTTGGCACATTGTATTTTGGTCTTCTCCTTGTACCTTTCTTCAACTAATTATTAATATATTAAGTGCAAGGCACTGGGCTAGAGGCCCTGAAGGAGAGATAAAGATGAGCCATGAGGATACCTGTGCCCTCTCACTGATGTCCTAGGACCTGTAAAACATTTCCCCCCACTCCCCATTGCCATATTCCAACCTTCTCGTATTAATCTACAAAGTATTTCACTTCAAAATGTTCTTCTGATGGGATTGAGGATACACTATTCCAAAATATGGCACTATGGCATACTGAATAAGCTAAAGGAATTTGATAAAACTAGAGCAGCGGCAGATCACTCTGACTTTCCCCTACTCTTCTTACCAACACAGGTCATAAAACCTAGGAAGGATTTTCTGACCTTTCCCTGAAGCAAGTCATAAGACTGTCATATGAGAGGTGCCCTCCCTATACCCAGAGGAAAGTTACAGTCTTATTTCTGAAGACACAGGGACACAGAGAAGAATCTAACAGGCCTTGCTAAATCTCCCCCAGCTTATTACCACAAGATGATATCTTTTTTGCCCTATTGTGTATTGCCACCAACTGTCTACTCTTCATCAAACCTGCATAAAAGCACACGGGTTTAACTGTTTCTTCAGGTCTTCATTTCCTCAGGAAGGCTCTGGTATCATGTAAAACTTACATGGAATCAGTTAATATGCTTTTTTCTTGTTAATATGTCTTTTGTTACAGTGACGTCAGTTATGAACCTAAGATGGGTAGAGAGTTTTCTTCCCCTACACTTCCTAATCCCCAATAAGAACTTCCTATACCATTTTCCCATTTTGACTCTCCTTAGGTAATTCTTAAAAGAAAAAAATTTTTTTAAATCAGGTTAAATAAGTTATCCAATTACAAATAAGTAAAACAATTAACCCTGTCAGTAACTGGCAACTTAGACCTGCCTTGGAGTCAGCTCCAGGAGTTAAATCCAGTATGTTTCGATTTGTTACAACTTCTTCTCTCCTTTCCTCACTAAATCCACATATTTCCTCAAGGTTTCCAATTTCATTGTCTTTGTCCTAAATGTATAATGGAAGAGCTTGGGGCATTCAGGTTCTATATCTGTGAAAGGTTCTTATGTCAGAGAAAAGCAACTAATGGCATAGTTAAAATATTTCTAATGTGACTGAACTTTTATAAGCTTGACTAACTATAATTATGAAGATAACTCCATATTCTGTACAGTTAACTAATACAAAAAGAAGTAGGTTGAATCAACCTTGGAACATAATCATACCTGCATGGTCCTTCTTTTAGTTAATGTTACTTGAAAATTTTTCCACTCCCAATGTTGTTCCACCACATGTGCAAAAACAACATGTCCATTTCCACAGGCTCCAGCAATCTGAGTGCCATCAATAGACCACGCAATATTAAATATGCTGCCAGTGTTCGGTTTTTCTAATGTGTATGACCACTGGGGAAGAAAAAACAAGAAAAAAATTGACTTATTGAAAAGAAAATTTTAGGAAGTTTTAAATCAGGCATGTGACAACATATTAGGTCATTTTAAAAAGAATATCTGTTTATTCTGGAATTATGAAACACTGCATGAATACTATTTTATATATTATTGGAATTTTTCTCAATAAAATTATATCATACTAAATAGAAAATACAGATATAATTGTTAAAGTCCATAGTAGAACATCATGATAAAAGTGTATGAAATATCTCAAGAACTGTAAAAAACAACATAATTTTAATGTACATTATTACTTTTAAGTAATAACACTTAATAGGTAAACACAGATTCTATAGAAAAAACAGACATGTTACTATTCATTCTTAAGGCTGCATATAGTCTTCACTTCTAAAAATTTCTCATTACAATATTTTAAGAATGTCACAAAAAAACTGAAACTAAACACATAATGTAACTAAAATTGCTCTACACACATCATGAAATTACATGCAACTGAATCTATTTTTTTCTTTTCTTTTTTTTTTTTTAACAGACTACAGTCAGTATAACCTCTCCTAGAACCTATCTGTCTGAGAAAGTTATCTAGAGATATCAATAAGCATTAAATAGGATGAAAGAGATTCTGGTGCATGTGTATAAATAAGACATAAGAAAACAATCCAAACTTTTTGATACATGGTATTATGTATACTTGTTTCATTTTTTCAGATGCAACATATGTTATTTGCCAGGATGATTAATTTGACTAAACTTATATACATATTCTCTTTCCATTCTTCCAGCCTTTACAGCCTGTAGGCACAGTCTTGATTTTGTTGTTGTTGCTCTTGGCTGGAGATATACACACACACACACACACACACACACACACACACACACACACACAGTTTGTTTGTTTTACATTTTTTTTTCCAGAAATATTCCTTATTAGCTACAGGTTCACCTTGACAACAAATTTGGAAGAAATGGAAAAATACAGATAAAGATTTACTAACGGATGCTATTACAAATCAAGACTTTAAAATTCCTAACAAAAGTTCACACATAACCTAAAAATACTGAAAGGCTCTTTGACCACTCACTGACACTTTTTTTCAACTCTCACCACCCTACAACTTTGCAGCTACTAATTGTTGCCTTAATGGCTTAAGTAAAGGCCTAATAATAAAGTTATCAAGACGAAGATAATGAACAAACCATAACCTTTGCTTCATTAGCAGTATGAAAATACCAGAAACTTTCTTTTTGAAAATTAAGAAGAATAAATTTTTTAAAATACATATAATATTTGAAGTCATCTTTTGAAAATAATTGTAGAAGACTGGGAACTTCAAAGATACTAATGATCTGCTTTGGGCAAGACAATGAAATTAAGTCACTTCTGTCTGACAAACAAGAATTATGAAACACTACATGAATACTATTTTACATAAAGATTAAAAATGGTTGATAATGACAAATGAGACTTGATTTGTTAACACAAAGGCTTACGACATAGCTCACTCTTTTTCTAAATCCAGTCTATAGTCATGGCGTAGAAGAAACAGAGATCTTAGTTTAATTTGTATTTTAAAACCATATATTCATATAATAGTCTCCCCTTAACCATGGGGATAAGTCCCAGGATCCCCAGTGGAAGCCTAAAACTATGGATGATACCAAAGCCCATACATCCTATGTTTTTATCTACACATACGTACCTACGTTAAAGTTTAATTTATAAATTAGGGAAAGTAAGAGGTTAACAATGTCTAATAACACAATAGAACAATTATAAAAATATACCATAGCAAAAGTTATGTGAATGTAGTCTCTATTTATGGAAATTTCCATTTTGGGCTGCAGTTGACAGAGCAGAGGGTAACTGAACTCACAGAAAGAGGAAACGTTAAAAAGGGAGGACTACTGTATTTAAAGTATGGTTTTAAAACACTCGAAGAACCAAATCAGCCAGAAAAAAAAAAGTCTTACTAAAATTAAACAGAAATATTTATCTAAGAACTTATAGATGCATGATCCTAAGAGGACAAATGAAAAGAAATGCTAAGATAATAGTATATCATCATCCTATATTCAACTGACTTCCTTTACAGTCCACATGAACCAACAAAAATAAAATCTGCAACATGCAACTTATCCCTGAAAACACATTTCAAGGAATACAGATTGAGTATCCTTTACCAGAAATGCTTGGGGGACAGAAGTGAATCTTGGATTTTTTCAGATTTTGAAATATTTGCATACACATAATTAAATATCTTGAGAATGAGACCCAAATCTAAACAGGAAATTCACTTACGTTTCATATACATGTTATACACATATCATGAAGGTAATTTTTTATATATTTCTTATAATTTTATGCATGAAAAAAAGTTTTATAATTGTTTTGGTTGTGGCCTGTCACATGAAGTTAAGTGTTGAAATTTTCCACTTGTGGCATCATGTTGGTGCTCAAAAAGTTTTAGATTTTGGAGTATTTTGGCTTTTGAATTTTTCAGATTAGGAATGCTAAACCTGCATAACAGTATTACAATAGTAAAGTTAAATTAAGTTCTTACATCAAAATTTTTTTAATTCACAATTTAAAAATTATTTTAAATGTAAGCATTAAAAATTAAAATTTCATCATCCAGGTATTAAGCCTAGTACCCATTAATTATAACAAATCCCCATGATACAAGGTTACCCATATAACAAACCAGCACATGTACCCCTGAACTCAAAATGAAAGTTAAAAAAATAAATGATTTATCTCTTTTAGATTACTCTAGTAATAAAACCATATAATCAAAACCTAATCAGCAGAGAATAAATCTTTAATAGTTACAAAAATTGGGGAGACATTATGGAACTATTCCAAAAAACTAAAAGGAGGCATTCCTCTCTAAATCATTCTATGAGGCATCCTGAAACCAACATCCTGGCAGAGATACAACTACAAAAAAAGAAAACTTCAGGCCAATATCTTTGATGAACATCAATGCAATAATCCTCAACAAAATACTGGCAAAGTGAATCCAGCAGCACAATAAAAAGCTTATCCACCATGATCAAGTAGGCTTCATCCCCAGATGCAAGACTGGCTCAACATATGCAAATCAATAAATGTAATTCATTACATAAACAGAACTAAAGACAAACCACGATTATCTCAGCAGATGCAGAAAAGACTTCTGATAAAATTCAACATCCCTTTATGTTAACAACTCTCAATAAACTAAGTATTGAAGAAACATACTTCAAAATCCTAAGAACCATATATGACAAACTAACAGCCAATATCACACTGAAAGGGCAAAAGCTGGAAGCATTCGCCTTGCAAACCGGCACAGGACAAAGATGCCCTCTCTTACCATTCCTATTCAATACAGTATTGGAAGTTCTGGCCAGGGCAATCAGGCAAGGAGAAATAATAAGCGTACTCAAATCGGAAGAGAGGAAGTCAAACTATCCCTGTTTGCAGGTGACATGATCCTATTATATATCTAGAAAACTCTATCATCTCAGTCCAAAAGCTTCCTAAGCTTATAAGCAACTTCAGCAAAGTTTCAGGATACAAAATCGATGAGCAAAAATCACTAGCATTCCTATACACCAAAAACAGAGAAGCAGGAGCCCAATTACGAATGAACTCCCATTCACAACTATCACAAAAAGAATAAAATACCTAGGAATACAGCTAACAACGGAAGTGAAAAACCTCTACAAGAAGCACAAACCACTGCTCAAAGAAATCAGAGGTGACACAAATGGAAAAATATTCCATGCTCATGAATAGGAAGAATCAATATTGTGAAAATGGAGGCCAGGCGCGGTGGCTCATGCCTGTAATCCCAGCACTTTGCGAGGTCAAGGCAGGTAGATCACAAGGTCAGGAGATCGAGACCACCCTGGCCAACATGGTGAAACCCCCTCTCTACTAAAATACAAAATAGCCGGGCGTGATGATGCATGCCTGTAGTCCCAGCTGCTCAAGAGGCTGAGGCAGGGGAATCACTTGAACCTGTGTGGCAGAGGATGCCATGAGCCAAGATCGTGCCACGGCACTACAGCCTAGGTGACAGAGCAAGACTTCGTGTCAAAAATATATATATTTTGTGAAAATGGCCATACTGCCCAAAGCAATGTAAGGATTTGATGCTATTTTCATTTAACTACCATTGATATTCTTCACAGAATTAGAAAACAACTATTTTAAAATTCATATGAAGCCAAAAAAGAGCCCAAATAGCCAAGACAATCCTAAGCAAAAAGAACAAAGCTGGAGGCAATATATTACTTTGACTTCAAACTGTAAGCTACAGTAACCAAAACAGCATGGTAGTGGTATAAGTACAGGCACAAAGATCAATGAAACAGAAAAGAGAACCCAGAAATAGGACTGCACACTTAGAACTATCTAATCTTCGACAAATCTGACAAAGCAAGCAATGGGGAAAGGATTCCCTATTTAATAAATGGTGTTGGGGCAGGGCGCGATAGCTCATGCCTGTAATCCCAGCACTTTGGGAGGCCGAGGCAGGCGGATCACCTGAGGTCAGGAGTTCAAGAGCATCCTTACCAACATGGAGAAACCCCATCTCTACTAAAAATACAAGATTAGCTGGGTGTGGTGGTGCATGCCTATAATTCCAGCTACCCAGGAGGCTGAGGCAGGAGAATCGCTTGAACCCGGGAGGCAGAGGTTGCGATGAGCTGAGATTGTGCTATTGCATTCCAGCCTGGGCAACAAGAGTGAAACTCCATCTCAAAATCAATAAATATATAAAAATAAATTAAAAAATAAAAATAAATGGTACTGGGATAACTGGCTAGCCATATGTAGGAAACTGAAACTGGACCCCTTCCTTTAACCATTTATAAAAATTAACTCAAGATGGATTAAAGACAAACATAAAACACAAAACTATAAAATTCCTACAAGAAAACCTAGGCAATATCACTCAGGGCATAGGCATGGGTACAGATTTCATGATGAAGATGCCAAA